TAAAATATGTTTTTTTTTGGTATATATTTATAAATGGTAAATCACAGCAAATCATTTTATAATTAATTTATACAATTTGATTAAAATGAAGGTCATTTTTAATAAAAGAAAGGGAATAAAATCACAAATTAAGACAATTAAAAGGATAAAAATATTATTGGGCGGCGTCAAAACTCATACCGAATTTAACTAAGAAGACTTGAATTTCAGCCAATTTTTTTTTAATGTAATTTTTATTAGTTTCTGTATGTTTCAGCCCTATTTACAGAAACATACAGAAACTAATAAAAATTACATTCAAAAAAATTATTTCTCTATCTAAAAAGTAGTTTTTCTCAACATTTTTATGGGAAGAAATGTACTTTTTTAATATATTTTCCTTTATACTCTAAAAGCCTCATTAATATTATAATAATTGATATAAAATAACTGGAAGTTTACAGCCATGGTTGGAGAAATAAATTAAATAAAAAAAAGATCCGTCAAAATAAAAATATTTTTGCAAAATTTTTTTTTTCAAAAATATTTTTGCAAAAAAAAATTTTGCTAAAATGTTTTTATTTTGCAAATTATATGCATGATCAGAACATTTTTATATGCAATATTCGCAAATTTGGAACTGTTGATCACTCATGATTATTTTTGGAAAAAAATTAGAGTATATGTATAAGACATTTAATTTGATATTTTTAGTAAAAACTGTTATTTTATTTATTGTAAGATATTAAAAATACATCAATTTATTAAATGTTGTAGCTAATTTGTATAATAAAACAGCATTTTCTATCATAAAATATATATGCAAAAAAAAAACTGCATAAGCATCATTTTTAAAATTGCAAAAAACACATCAACGGTTTTTAAAGTTTGCTTTAAATATATTTATGGTAAATAAATTTATTTAAACTCTTTTGTCTTTAAAAATAAAGTTTAAGTATATTTTTTTATTTTATTTTTACAGACAATATAGACAAAGAGTTTAAATATTGGAGTTTAAATTTTTAGCTCTAATATTTAAACTCTTTGTTAAAATTTTTTAAATATTTCACTAAAATTATTTTTTTAATTGTTTTCGTATTTTTTTTAAGTAGTCAATTCTCAGTCTAAAAATTCTCTGTATCACACATAAGTTAACAGGGTTTGACTCGCTCTAAGGAGCCCGGGGGAGGGGGAAAGATAAATAGGGCCCTAATACGTTGCAAAAAACAGTAAGGGGCCATCCACAAAGTACGTACGCAGTAAAACCACTGATTTAGGACCCCCCTCTCCCCCCTTGTACGCACTTGTATGCTTTCAACGACCTCCCCCCCCTTCTGCGTACGTACGCATTTTTTATTACAAGTTCAGGCTCTCCTCCCCTTCCTTCCCCAACGCATTAATTTTTCAAAACATTAAACACAAAAAAACATTTTGTTAATTTCTCTGTGCTTAGTTAAAAACCGGAAAGTTATTTGTTAATAACTTTCCAGTTTTTGTTAAAGAAAGAAAAATATTCTAAAAAAGAATTCTTGTTGCGAGTATTTATTTTTCATATTTCCTCAAATGGTGACTTAAATAAATCAAATATGTTATCAAATACAGGTATGAACTCTGCTTCCACACTTTTATAATTAATCTCCTCACTGATATCTTCACTTTTATAATAGATTCACTGTCACTTACACTATCCTTACTCTCCATTTCAACCGTGTTTTTTTTTTGTGTATGTGCTTTCTTGTGCCGTTTCATCGCAGCCTCGCTTGGCCAGTATTTATTGGACTTGTCGAAAATTCCGTTTGAGAGCTTTTCCTTTAACGATGGGCAATACAGATCAAATGGTATAATTTTGTATTTTAATCCTTCTATAGGTATATCATGTAGCAAAAGTCGATGTGTCAGTGGTGCAAACGTTGATTGTTTTGATACGTTTTTAAAATATCGAGACGGTTCCATTGCTTTGTAACCATTCTCGCAGTATTCGTAGATTGCCGGAAATGGAATGAAACGTTTGGGGAAGTTTTTCAGCCAGTTTGTTTCAAACGGTGTGCAACATGACTCCTCTTGGCATTTTACGATTTCTAGGCTGTATCGCGATTGCTGACAATGTTTGTCTACCCAAACAGGATCTGGAATTGGTGGTTCATATGCTTTCCCAACTGGTACAGCCTGGCAATGAACAGGATACCCGTCAATGACGGTTTTCTCCCAAACTTGGGATAAAACGTCAGCCGCTTTTTGAAAGTTCTCTACCTCCAATTCATAGTCGATTGTTTTTCCAGAAGAATCAAGGTGATTGCCAAAAAAATCATGAGGAAGGACTATTCCAGCCAAATCACGAGAAAGAGGTGCCATTCTTCGTTCTACGGGGTTAAAGGCTGAAAGGCCAGCTGCATTCACACCATGAAGAAGGGCATCTAAATTAAGCAAGCGAAAGAGGTCAACAACAGTTGCTAAGGTTTTAGGGAAACGTGGTGCTTCATCCTGAGCTCCATCAGTCTCCATTAACATAATTGGTCTACGTTTAACCAACTCGGTTTTAAAAAGCTCTCTAACATCAAAAGCATGTGTAAAAGCATTTGATGTATCGTGTTTCGCATTTCTTATGCGTATGAAAGTGTCCCCACTGTATGATACATTTCCAGTATTGTTAACTTCGCATACGCCATACACTGATGGGATCAATTTGTGCTGTGAGCTAACGACAAAATCGTGATCCATGAGTTTGACCTTGTATTCCATATGCATCAGCAACGGCGCTTGAAGGCTTGCTGCAGCAATACCCAATGGGACCCTGGCTTTATCATCGTTGGAAATGAAAAGCACAGCTTTTGGTCCAAACAATTTGCAAACTTCGAACATGTCGTCAATGAATGATTTGGCAAACATTCTATCGTCATTTTTTTTTCGCATTGAGTTTTCTGGACGTAACAGCTTTACTGGAACTGTGCTGACATGTTTTTTTCCTTCAGAAGTGTTTCCACGTCGTGGTAAAAGACGAAGGTACAAACCACTCCTACTCAAGGTAAAGCCTATCTTTGTCAACTCTTCCTGAAGGTCATCTAAAGTGGAGACGCTACGGAGACATTCTGTTCTTCGACGTTCGTCAGCTGCTGATAAATTTTGCACAATTTTTACAATTGTTGATAAAAGCTCTGGTTGGTCAACTTCGAGACGCGGTCGTCCAGTATGGTTTCGACTAAACTGTTTCAAAGCACTTGATGCTTCAGGGATGTTCTGACACACAGTTTCGATGCTCTCTTTAAGTTTTTGTCTTCGTTTTCTTTGACGAGCTGATTCACGAATCAATCTGAAAACGAAATATCAGTAAAGCTTTAATTCCGTTATAAAAACTTCTATACTTAAGGTTTCGCAACTTTTGGCTAATGTTGCAAAAGAAAAAGTACGCAAATTCTTATTTCAAATAAGAAAGTATTATTTACAATAAGATTATGAAAGTTTCTGTCTTTGAAAATGTTTGGTTTTTATAGCCAAGACGCTTTTCTATACGCATAAATAAACTCTGTATTATTTAACATATATCTCTTGATATTTACTAGAAACCTGACAGTTAAGCATTCTAAAATGAAATATCAAATAAAGAAATACATAACTAAATTATCTTACCTGTCCAATTTTGTTTTTTCTTTTCTTATGGTTTCTTTCACAGTGTTTATTTGTTCCTTTGTTACGGTAGATAAACCAGAATCACGTACGACTATCAAGGATGCACGTTGTAATTCAAGATCTGAGATTTTCTTTCGACTCCTAACTTGTGCCGGATTTTCTCTTTCTTTTTTGTTGTCTGTTAAATCTAAATTAAAAAATGCCAAAAAATAAGCTATTATAAATTCCTGACAATTACTACTAATCAATTTATTTTGGATATAGAAAAATAGGTCTAGTGGTCAACATTATAAATTTCTGTGACTGCTCTAAGGTCGTACGATGTAGTTTGATTTACAATACGGTTAAACTCAGTAGGCCGGGTGAATAAAAAAGAGCAATTGCTTTTACTCAGTAATTGTTCAGTTTTACGTGAATAAAAAATTGAGCAATTATCCTCAAATTTCTATTTACGTAAAGTTGAGCGTTGTTGGAGTAAATTGTTCAGCTTTACGTGAATAAAAATTTGAGCAATCTTGGTCAAATTTTTATTCACGCAAAGCTGAACAGTTACTGAGAAAAAGCAATTGCTCTTTTTTATTCACCCGGCCTAATGTATAGAAAATCACAAGAGAAAAAAAGTTTTTAAAATATTACAGAAATTAGCTTACTAATTTCAATCCTTGCAGGCTCTGTCGTAGTTGCATTTAGGAAACTTCGTGTTTCATTTGACGAAGACGGCGCTGGATGGATATCTTTTTTCTTTTTGCTAGGTGGTGAAATGGTATTTCCCCAGAATGACATAAGTGATACTTTTGACTTTGTTACTTTCTCTTTTAACTCATTTATTTTTTTTTCATACAAGGATTCATTGTTTTTTACTATTTCACGGCGTTAACTTTAGTTCAAAAATCTCCCGATTGCCAGTTTGCGCGTGTTTTCACACTTACTATCATAGTAAGTAGAAACCATGTAAAAATAACAGTAAAATTTTAAAAGACCAATCAATATCATAAGATTTTGCGAGTGGTTTCTATCGGTACAGACATTTTGCGCTAAACTTATAAGAAAACAAAGCGTATGTTTATGTACCTCATCCTACCATTTTTTAAATTATATCTTGAGGTTATACTTTCACATTGATAATATCAAATTGATATTTGCAGAAAAAATATTACAAAAACTGGACACTCCAATTATAATTGTACTTCTGAATAAAAATTAATTATTAAAAATCTAAGAATCTATATGTAAAATAATTTTTTAAACTTAAAATTTTGTATAAAACCAAAATTTAAATCCAAAAATCTCCAAAAATAATTTAAAGAAATTATGAAATACAAGTAATCTGATTAGTAAATAAAATTCTTCAAAGAAAATTCTTCAAAGAAAAAAATTCTTCAAAGAAAATGCTGCTATAAAAATTAATTTAATTGGTTTGTAGTTCTTTTGATTTCGTTGCAAGAAAGTAAGACGTCAGGTACAGCCTGCCAATACCTAAAAAACAAAAATAAAATTTTAGTACTGTCCTATCAATTTATCATACATGTTCTATTTTCATCCAATTTGTAAATTCTATTTTATAAATCTATACACACTGTAATTTGCATAGCTTTTTGAACAGCCAAGCTTTAGATGTATTGTGGATTAAATAGGTAACCATAACTTAATCTTAAACTAATAGAATAATTTATTCTTAAACGAATATAATAACTTAACCTTAACCAATAGAACTACTATATATATCTACACCTTAATTTATTAAAAAAAAGAAATAGCATAACATAAGGAAAGATGCCATCTTATTGATATTTTTTACAAGTAATATTTTCAAAAACTAATAGAAATAAATTTTGAATATCTTATCTTTTTTATGAAGGTTATATAAAAATTGAGATATAATCAAAATGCAAAAGGATTTTCAGAAATAAAATGAAGCCAAAAAATTTGTTGCTTGTACATTCTTTTTGATGTTTGTCAGCATAATTTTTTTAATAAAAAGTCATAAAACTGAGCAACCTTGCAAGTCATTACATCTCTGATACCTATTTTGAAATTCACAATACTTAAAGTAATCTTTTTGTGACATACAAATCCTGAGTCCTTTTGATACTCCACATCCCTACTTGGATCATGGCTTTACTTAGATAACCTTAACACAAACATCAAGGTTTTGAATAAGCTAATACCTTATATCAGATTACTATAACCTCATACAAAGTATATCTGATACCTTACCAGATGTTTATCAACTTTGAAAAACAACCTTACAAATTGTTTTGGTTTTTGAACATGCAACATATAAATGGATATTAATGAATATAAATGAGAGAAACACAGTTTTTTAAGATATACACAAACATTTGTATAAAAAATCAATAATATAAAACATTTATCTGTAAAAATAGAAAACTTGTGAACACTTTAGTTCATTACTTATTTAATGTAACAAATAGCTGTTTGAATATACTAATTATAATTCCTAAATTACTTTTTTGTAGCTGTTTACACATTTTATTCACAGTAGTACCAGTCTTTGCATTACTAGAGGTCTTTCAATAATTTCAATAACACCGTTGTAATCAATAATAAACTTGTTTATCAACTTAATAATAACTTAATAATAAGCTAATAATATGTAACCAAGTAAAATATTTATCCTTCATAAAAATATTTAATGAAGTTACAATACAAGTATACAAAAAAAAAATGCAGAATAAAATCCAGACAAATTTAAAATTTAATAAACATAACTTTGAAATTCACAAAGATGAAGTAAAACAGAAAACAAAAATATATAAGTAAAAATAATAACTAATATAAACGATAAAAAGATAAAACTTGGAACTTCAAAAACTTTCAAGCATTTTTTTTTTCATCTCAAAGCCTGCTTACCTCAGCCAAATAAAATAAAAAGTAATATTCAGTGTGTTTAAATATTCTAATAACACAATAATGTAAAATAAACATAAACTTACTTCATAAAATGTTCTGAATGCATTTCTCGATTAAAGATGGACAACACTGATGTGTAGCGTGTCACACGTTGCAAGTTAAGATATTTGTAAACATTTTTTTATACTGTTATATATATATATATATATATATATATATATATATATATATATATATATATATATATATATATATATATATATATATATATATATGTATATATATATATATATATATATATATATATATATATATATATATATATATATATATATATATATATATATATATATATATATATATATATACCTAATAATAAATATTATTTTTATAAAATATATTTTTTCAAATATAAAATTAAAAACTTTTTTTTTAATGTTAAGCGAGAAATAAATAAAAATTCTATAACATTTACATTTAACATTCAAGATAAAGTCTTAAAAAATAGTTTGTTTGTTTTTTAATCAAATAATAAAAAAATATTTTTTAAAAATGGCTGCCAGTTTACTGAAAATTAGTTAAAAAGTCACATAGAAACATCAGAGATAAACTCATACTTATCTTTTACTTCATTTATAAAAAAATTCCACAAATGGTCCTTAGTGTGTTAGGTCCATATTTAGTTAGAGATTTTAAAGTTAATTCATTATTTTAGGTTTTAAGAATTTTTGAAAATCAAAAATGTCAATTTTTATAAGAAAAAATAAGATATCTCAAGATATATTCATTAACTTTCAAAATCTCTAGCTAAAAAGAAAGATATTAATGTAAGTATCAATTTCAAATGTAAAACTGTGTGTTTAGAAGAGTTAACATAGTGGTTTATCGAGCATCTTTTTGTAGACTTATTTATTATGATTAAAATAATACGAAGATTGTGTAAAAATACAAATATTCTTTTATGAACAAAAAATATAACTCCTATTTCAACATATTAACACATAAAAACATTCAACTTCAGACCAATTAAGCCATGATCCTTGGTTACTTAACTGCATATTTTAGTTTAGACTGAACCAAATGTAAAAATATTCCAGTCTACACCACATTTAGTTTTAATAGTCGCGCGAACAATTCGCGCTGAAAGATTTTTGGACAAAAATTAACGCCGTGATTTTCCACAACTCTTGTGCTTGCTGATACTGCTTTTGTTTTTCAAGTGTTGAATATGCTTTTTTATATAACTCAAGGAATTGAAGGTATTTTTTCTCGTTCCCGCGCGGCATCTTGGTCATAATAAATAATAAGTTTTTTTTCCAATGAGGCGTATTGAGTTTTCGAATAGAATCATAAAAGTTTTTTTTGTTTTAGTTTACTCAAGATAATTGCCGTTACATTGCATCATAAAAAGTGTTGGTTTCCATCAGCATTTAAAGTAACTATTTTTTACAATTATCACAATGATTGTCATATGCATTGTCACATGTATGTTCATTTCGCTTCGCCTGTCCTTAGCAATCTTAATGTATGTTAATATTAACTTTAATGATAAAAAAAATAAAAATATTACCTTTTTTTATTTTATTGTTTTTTAAAAACAAAATATTAACCTTTTAAGAGAAATGGGAAAAACCAGGTTCGTAATTAAAAAAAGAATTCAGAAGAAGTTTTCTTTGATTACAGTTTTGTTACTTTTCATCTTGCTACAGTCGAATTATGTTGCAAAAAATGGAAAACATTATTTGGAGATATTATAGCTCGATTTTTTCTCTCCTCGTTACTTATAAAGAAAAATAAAAAACAAATGTAATTGAAGTCAGAAAAAAAAATAACATATATTATATTATGATTTTTTAACGTGAAATTCAATGTTTTTATAAAAAAACATTAAAACACGTGAAATTCAATGTTTTTATAAAAAAGTTTAGGAGAGATAGTTAAACCGCGTGCGTACTCGCTGTCGTTAACACCCTCCCCCCCCCCTGTACGCATTCGTACGTTTCAGGATAACCCCCCTTCCCCCATACATGCGTACGTACTTTATGGATGGCCCCTAACACGCAAGGGCCCGTGTGCAAAAATGTCACCCAAAACCAGAAGGAGAAATGCCACCTTGCCAGTCAGACCCTTTTAGTGTTAGTACAACATTAGTAACAGTGTTAGTAACCGATTAATCAAAAATCTTAAATACCAATTTTTTTTTTAAGTTTTTTAAAAGTACCCAACATATGTTATATTATTAAAATGCGACAAAAAATCAATTTAGTTGGATATTATAGGAAAAAAAAAAAAGAAAAATTTTTGTTTTGTATATTTATACTATTTATACTATTTTGCATCTTTACACTATAATGTGCAACGCAAAAATTTTAAAATTTTTTTTATTATAAAATTTTTTAGTTTAAAATTATTTAAGCTTGATTTTACGAAGTCATTGCATAACAAAACAAACCCATAATAAAAACTCAAAATGCAATAATAGAGAAAAAACGTAAACTTGTAAATAATGTTTACAGAAATACCAACATCTTGAAAAATATACGCTTTGAAGCAGTACAATACAGAGGCGATTCTAGGAATAAAAAATGGAAGGCGGAGGGAGGGGGGGGGAGGCGATACTTACAAAGTACTGACTGACTCCATTAAAAAAATGTCCTCAAAACTAAAATTTATCAAACTGAATGCTGTCAAATATCCGACTAGCCGACTAAATTCGTAAAAAACTGACTTTAACTTAAAAATCACCGTCATTTTCACTCTCTCATTTTGAGGATTTTATTTATACAATATTTGTTAAAATGTGTAGTTATTATTTGAATAATCTTTTTATTAGATACTGTCTTTATTTAGATATAGATTTAAAATAACGTATCATACAAAAAATATGCTTAAGCTTAAGTATATTTGTAAACCTCCTGAAAAATTATAGTAGGATTCCCCAGATTTGTCCTTCTTTTTTTTTTTTATTAAATGATATGTCCGCGGAAATTTCTTCAATTAGCCACAAATATCCGGGGTTTTACCTGAAACTTAACCAAAAAGTTTTTCGCTAAAATAAAGCATGTGTTTTCACTAAAATCACATGCTTTATTGCACTATTATGCATTGATTGCACTAAAAACTTTTCAGTGCAATCAAATTTCCTTTTTGAACCAGGGTATTTAAACCTGTTAATAGAGAAAGAAATTAATCGTTAATTAAGTTTGTGAGTTCGAATGATATAGCTTTGAAGCATTTTAGCGCATTAAATTCATTAGTGTGTTTTCTTTTAATTTTCATTGAAAACTTTTCAATACTGTGTAAATTTGGATTGTAAATACAAAGCTTTCTAGACGTTTTTGAATTATTTATTTTAGCAGCATATTTCTTCGATATGAAATAACGTCGGAATATTACAATTTGAACAATTACAATAATGTACAAATTGAATTACTAATGCCAAACAGAAAAACACAGTTTTTATCAAAGTTACAAGAGAAACATCCATCCTTCAAAAAAGGAGAAAATTAATATGAGACGGAGTGTTTTACTTGTGACACATTTGTTTCTGTTGCAATCAAAGATAGTTATGATCTTGCTGATGGTATAGACATAAAAAATCCATCATAGGGCAAAAGTCATTTAGCAAAATGACTGACTTTTTTTGTACACCAAACTCTAAATAAGAGGATCAAGTTACACCTGCAGAAGCCACTATTGCATTTCACACAGTAAAGCATCATTATAGTTACATATTAAATAATTGTACCTCATCTTTAGTTGCAATAATATTTTCAGATTCTGAAATAGCCAAAAAGTATTCATGTGCTAACAAAAAATTAAAATTGAAGCAATTGTTGATCATGTACTTGCTTCAAATGCTGTCTCATCTGTTTTAAAAGATATAGAAGAACAAAAAAATCTGTCTATTAAAGTAGCTACTAATAGCAGTAGTCGTGGGGCCATTAAACTGTTTTCTATAGTAATTCAATACTTCAACTCGAAAAAGGGCGGTCTACAGTCTAAACTTTTAATCAAAAAGACTGCAAGACTGATCGAAGTCGAAGTTTTTTTTAACTGGCAATATTTACAATTCAAACTTTAGAGGTGTTTAAAAAAGATGGTAATAATGTGTTTTTTCATATAAAAAATGATATACCATATCTTGTTGGTATCAGGGCCGACAACACCGGGGGCCTTGATACCAGCAGGTATTAGGGACCCTGGTGTTGTCGGCATTTTTTTTTTCAGAAAATTCTAGATATGAGGCGCAAGATGAGATAAGGTACCAAGTCTATATTTCTAGATTCAGAGATATAAGCGTTATTAATTCGGATTCAGAGATAGCGTTATTTATCAAAATAAAAACATAAAAATTAACTTATTTAAAATATAAACATAAAAATTAAATATTTTCAAGGTTTTATTTTAATATATAACGCTTATATTTCCGAATCCGAATTAATAACGCTTATATCTCTGAGTTTTTTTTTTGTTGTTGTTGTTGTTTCATATATTTACAATAAAGACATATCACATTTATAAAAATTGGCCGAAGCAAGAAGAAGACATTAACTGTCTTATCACCGAGCCCCTTTTACATATTGTCCGTGTTTATATATATAACTAATAACGTAAAAAAGTACATAACTTTTGTCAAATATTAAAATGACTTTTATATTGGTAAAAAAATAAAGAAAATTTTGTATACTAATACAAATATACTTGATGAATTTATTTGTAGAACACTAAAGTTTGCTTAATCAATAAAACTTAAACAAATAATAATAAAGTAGAAGTCTTGTCATCAAGCCCCTATAGTAAGCGTAAAGTACTTTTAACAAATTTCTCATTATATAAATTTACAAATACTCGTTATATAAAAACAAGTTAACACATTATTACAACAAAAATATGATGCTTAAAAAATATTGAAAGTCTATTGTATTGAAATATACTAAAAGTATGATTCTTTTAGAACCTGTTTTAAATTTTTCTAGAGAGTAGTATTTTTTATCGGAGTTTTTAATAAGGTCCTCGATATTGAATTCGATAAAAACTTAATTTTAAATTAATTCTCGGAACAATAAAGATATTCTCTGAAAACTTTGTTGGGTACTTATGAATCTAGAAATATAGACTTGGTACTATATCTCATATACCTGAAGAAATATGGTAACTCTAAATTAAACATAATTATACCCGAGGATG